CCGCCAACGCCGCCGCTGCTGCCGGCCAGCAATGCCCCCACTTCCTGTCCGATTGGGACCCCACCAAACCTGCCAAACCGCCGCGGGCGTCGGACTCCACTGCCGCTGCCCCCACCGCTTGGGCTGCCGACCAGCGCAACAGCCGCCATGGCGCCGCCGCCAAAGCCACCCAGGTCTGGGGTGCTGCCAGCAGCAGGCGAGTCTGTGCAAGGGCTGCTGCTGTATGGTTCAGCGGAATCACTTGCAACAGTGTGCGGCGGCTGCTGCAGACCTGAAAAATCGCCGTTGAAGGGCTGTGGCTGCTGATAGTGGTGCTGCTGCTGTGGTGGCGAATTCCATTGCTGCTGCTGCGGCTGCTGGGGCTGCTGCTGCTGCTGCTGCTGCTGCTGCTGCTGCTGCTGCTGCTGCTGCTGCTGCTGCTGCTGCTGCTGCTGCTGCTGCTGCTGCTGCTGCTGGTAGTTGTAGTAGTAGGGCTGGGCACGTAGGTGCTGCTGTTGGACGTAGAGCCCAGACTGCTGGGGCTGGTGCGGTGGCGCATGCCCATGGTGCCCGCCAGGGACTCTCAGGTTGCTGACAGGCGCATACAATGGAGCACGATACATTGGCTGGCGCGCCTGCTGCTGCTGCTGCTGCTGCTGCTGCTGCTGCTGCTGCTGCTGCTGCTGCTGCGGCAGCAGCGGCAAGAGCGGCGGCGGTGGCGGCGGCTGGGGAGGCTGCAAGCCCAGGCCCGCTGGTGCGTCCTCCGCTTCCCAGTCTGCTCGCTGCCGCCTGCCTAAGAGTGACGATGGCGGTGGGTTTGCTGCCACTGGTGGGGCTGCGACCTGCTCTGTCCCAGGCGCAATGCCACCGCCAGTCTCCCAACGGGTTGGCCGGCGGCGCCTGTCATCTCCTCCCACGCCAAAGCTGCCTGCGCTGGCGCCGGCGTCCGCCGCTCCTGGCGTGCCCTCTCGGCTGCCCGCATCCCAGCGGCTTGGCCTGCCGCCCCTGTCCCCTCCTGCCACGCCAAAGCCGCCGCGGCCGTCGCCGCCGCGGCCATCGCCGCCGCCCGCCGCAGCGCCGCCGGCCTGGATCGCCAGGGGCGCAGCGGGGCCGGGCAGCAGGCGCGCGTCGGCGTCCTCAACAAAAAGGCCGCGCTGCCTCGCGTCGCCCACCAGCCCTGCCCACAGCTGGTCGCGGCCCAGCGTGGCCATGCGGCCCACGACCCACACGGCGAGCCGGCCGCGCGTCAGGGCGACCAGCAGGCGGCGCTCCGAGTCGAGAAACCCGACGCCGCCGGCGCGGGTGGCCTCGGTGCGCGTCGTGGCGATGATGACGAGGTCGGCCTGCTTGCCCTGGCTCGCGTCGACCGTGAGCACCCTGACGTTGGCTGCCGCGCGCGTCTCGGCGGGCAGCTTGTCCAGCTCGCGCAGGATGACCCCCACCTGCAAACATTGCAAAGGGGGAGAGGCAGGACAGAGCCATAGTCAATGAAGTGGAAGTCAATGCAGAGAAAGCATGCATTTGCGAATGAACCCCTAAAGTTGATATTGTTGGAGTCAGTGTGCCCCACGCAGCGCAAATTCATACGCGTACATGCTCACTTGCACATGCTGCATGCACCGTGCGTGTGGGTGCATGTGCATGTGTGTATGCACGCTCGCGCTTGCACACACACACACACACACACACACACACACACACACACACACATACACACACACACACACACACACACACACCACATGCGCACACACACGCATGCACACGCACGCACACACACACACACACACACACGCACAAGCCAACAGCATCAGCAAGGCTATGGCACAAAGCAAGCGCAATTTACCTGCGGCTTGTACATGGAGATTATCATGATTTCCAGCGGGGCCGCATTGCCGGAGGCGCTGTGAGCCGCTGCGGCAGAGGCGGCCAGCCCCTCCACGATGAACCGGGCCTCGCCTGTGTTGTACAGGCTCTTGCCTCTGGGCGCCTGGTGGCTGCTTGGGATGTCGAAGACACTGTAGGCCTTGGCCAGCAGGCTGGGTGGTGGGATGGGCCGATGGCGTTCCGAAAGAGACTAAGGGTGACAGAGGATAGTTCAAGCCTACCAGCTGGCTGCTGCTGGCGCGGGATGCCGAGTACAGCAGGACTGGGAGTGTAACCTCGATGCTGCCGCAGGGCAGTCGGTTGTACTCTGAGCACGGCTTTAGTGTGCCCACATCAAGCAACGGCACCGGCTGTGAGCTCACCCGGAGGGATGTCCTGCGAACGCAGGCACGGGGCGCTCGTCGACGGATGGCGCCGTGACCAGGCGGCCGTCGTAGCACAGCCGGCTGGGGTAGGCGACGATGTCCGCGTGGGAGCGGTATTGGACCGACAGCCGGACCTCCTGATGGAAAAAGGGGAGTGCGCAAGTGAGACATATGAGAGCTGAGCGTGGGGGCCCTCCAAGACCACCCCCTCACCGGTTGCCCCGCTGATGGCTGGTGTCAGTCGCGCGGCTGCTCTTGTTCAAGGCGGGCGAGTTAGCATTAGCATTAGCAGGCCTGCGGTTGCTGGACTGCACCCCGGCCCAACCCCTGGTCAGATCCTTGTTCCCTGCACTACCCTCCTCACAGCACCCACCGGGTACCCGAGTGCCTCCAAGTGCTCCAGCAGGGACACCTCGAGCCCTGCGGCGCGCGCCGCCTTACTCTTGACCACCGGCGCCAGCTGCTTGGTGTCGCCGATCAGCAGCATGCGCATCACACCAAGCGGCAGGACCTGCATGAGGGCCGTCTTCGTCACTTGGCCGGCCTCGTCCACGATCGCCTGCATAAGAAAGGGCCAGGGGGCGGGGCCGTCGGCACTCTGCTGAGCCATGCATGCCCTATCACATCAGAGATCTATTGCACCCATGCCAACCTCCATCCAGCAGAAGGCGCTATGAGCTTTGAGGCACACCTTGGCGCCGCATACGTGCATGCAGAGGCCCTTCCACACGTCACAGCCCGGCATCGTCGCACGCATGCAGCTCCCACTGCGGGCCGCTGCACGACAGCTGCTCTTAAGACCACACCCTCCCGCAGCAGCGGCGTGTGGCCCTGGTGCCCTGGCTTGGACCCTTCCCACAAAGGCCCCCCACAGGGCCTGTGGCGTGACTCACCAGGGTGAACTCTCGGGCCAGGTCCGCCAGCTCAGAGCGCCCGCAGCTGCCCAGCGTCGTCGCCACCACCTCCGCCTCGTCCAGCAGCGCCTTGACGACCGCCTCCTGCAGCTCCCGCGGCGCCGCGTGGAACGCCTCCATCTGCCGCGACCGCTCCGGAACAGCGGCGCCCGCCGTCGCGGCCGTCGCGGCGGCGGCGTCAGCGGCGCGCTCGCGCTCCGCGGCAGCCCTTTGGGTGGCGGGGGCGTGCGCGTAGTCTCGCACCAGCTGGAGGCGGGCGAGCTTGACTTTGGCGCGCATGAACGCCTCAGCGCTGTTGACCAGGTCTGCCTTGTCCTCAGACCTCGGCCGCCCCCGGTTCTGTGCGGGGTCACAAGGGGCGGTGCCTTGGTTGTTGGCAGCTGCATGGGACAAGGGTGCCGAGGGACCCTTCAGCAGTTGCAGCACTCCGTGCCTTGCACGACCCCGCACCACAGGGCTTGTGATCCACCCCAGTTGCCAGACAACCAACCCACCACAACCTCACCCTCGTCACGCGGTCTGCCGCGACGTCGAATCTGCTGACCGCCTGGTGGCTTGCCCTCTCTGCCGACGCCTTGCACTCCGCCCACTGCTCAGGGGTCAGCCCCAGCAGGGCGCCCGCCTTGAACTCGGCAAACACCTTGTAAAAGTGAGTGGGGGGTGGGAGCGGCGAGAAGAGGGCTCATAATCCAGGCGCAGCAGGGGCTGGAGCCGCAGGGGCCGGCGTAAGGAGCGACGTCTGCTACGGCTGTTGCACCGCCTCTACGCGCCTCAAACATCCGTGTTCCCAGCAGCCCAAGGCTGCCCTGTGGTTAGCTGCCGCTGGCCTGTTTAAGGTGGGCTTTCCTGCCCCTTGCTTCGCGCCCCGCGGCACCCTCACCTCGAGAACGCCCTGATCCACGCTGGCCTCCACCCCCAGCCGCAGTATGCCAGGGTTGTAGGGGTGGAGGTCGAAGTCCATGAATCTCTCTTTCAGGATGCGCCCGGCTGGCTCGTCCACTGACGAGTTCGACGGGCCAGTCAGAAGGATCTGGGGCTTCATGGCCCTTGTGGCGGCATAAGCTTGAAGGATGGCGGCCTGGCCGCTGTTGCCTGCAGGTGCCAGGGCGGAGGTTGGTGGGAGGTTGCACATAACCAGCTTCGCCAGGGGTGCAAGTGGGTCCTGAGACAATCAAACGTCAGGGATGAGGCCTAAAAAGAGCACCACGCCCCAGGTACAAGGCAAGAGCAGAGAGACGGGATCTCTCGGACATAGCTCGCAGCTGCCAGGGTAGGGCACCGATCAATGATCACTCCCCGGCCGCGCCGGCTGCCGTCGCTGCGTCGGCTGCCTGTAATTGGCGGTTGCTCACCGCTGATGACCTGGCTGACCAGGCTGGAGCTCAGGGCCTTCATGTGGCCGTCATATGTAACCATGTGAGCGACGTTCAAAATGGACACAACCACGTCGCTCTTGCCCGTCCCGGGGGGCCCCTGCATACCCGGCAGGGCAGGTTGGGCATGAGGGGTTAATGGGGTTGTGAGGGAGCCGCCCCCAAAAGTGTGATATGCACTCAACACCGCTGCTGGAAGCAGGCGCCTGCGCCGGCCCTAGATACAGGTCTGATGACGCCGGCGCAGGGTCAGCAACAGCAGCTAGCCGCCGCCGGACGCCCACGTGATGCGCGATGCAAGAGTGTAAATCCGGTGAGATAATTCAGCGCTGGCGGCCGCGTGGGCACTTGGCTGCGCCCGCGCACCGCGCACCTGGACGAGCTGTACGGGCAGGGGCCCCCTCCTGCCCTCCAGCATGAGCGAGGCCCGCTTGATGGCTTCCAGCTGTTCTTTATTGAACCTGTCAGGGATGTTGCGGGCAGAGATGTTTGAGCCAGGGTGGTCGGCCGGCAAAGCATGGCTGTGGGCCAAATCAGCAGGGGTGCAGGGCTGGAATAACCTCCAGGGAGGGGGGTCATGCAACCACTTAGAGCCTGCAATGCGCTCACATGGCGCCAAGCCGTGTGCAGGCAGGCACTCAGGCTGGTACTACCAGCCGCAGTACGGTTTGCTAACGCCTACCGTGATTCGTAGTAGTCCACAAATGGTGGGTGGGCCGCCACCGCCTCGCACCACATGGCCACGTCTCCGACCTCCCTCGCCTCCCGAGCAGCGGCCAGCCGCCCCTTGGCGTCGGTGAAGACACGAGCAATGTCCTCATCGGCGGTGGGGAGCGCCCGCAGGGCCTGGGCCTCTCGGATGCTGGTGACGAGGGAGCCGCCGGGTGTCAGCGTCCAGGTCCCCGGCAGGAGGCCTTCAGCCTGGCAAGCTCTCTCCAGGAAGTGGGCTGCCTGGCGGGGCGTGAGGTTATTTCGGGTGGACGGGGCGCGGGGTGCGAAGGTTGGGGAGTAGGACTTGGACAGTGCAAGGGCTGACCAGTTGTAACTTTCAACACCTGCAATTGTGCAAGGTGTGCCCTCAGCTTACTTCCTTCAACGCCCAAACCAGAGTAGTTGTGAAGGCCGTTGCAACAATACAGCTGCACTGCCGTGTGAGGTCCCCTGCTCGGTGCTCACCGCTGTGCAGGGACGGGCGGCGTTGTCACTGTGGTCCTGGCAACACGGCATCAGCTCAATAATGATGTAGCCGGGGTGCACCTCGGTGACGACAGCCAGTTCCTGAAACAAAGGCGGCTGTCCTTGCTGCTCTCTATGCTCCTGCTGCTGGTGCTGCTGCTGCTGGTGGTGGTGGTGGTGGTGGTGGTGGTGGTGGTGGTGGTGGTGATGCTGCTGCTGGTGCTGCTGCTGCTGCTGCTGCTGCTGCTGCTGCTGCTGCTGCTGGTGCTGCTGCTGGTGCTGCTGCTGATGCTGCTGGTGCTGCTGGTGCTGCTGGTGCTGCTGGTGCTGCTGGTGTGCAGACTGCAACGCCATGGATCCTCCGTGCCTTTCAGAATGTGCAGGCAGTGTCGCAGCGTCTCCGTGCAGTGTCAGCTGGACCACGTGGTTGCGGCCGAGGTGCTGGTGGGCGGCGTGGCTGTGGTCCTGCAAGACGACCCTGGCTTCAAAAGCCCGTGTGGACTCGACGTGCCTGACCCTGTGCGTGGAGGGATTGGCGGGACGGATGCTTGGGCTAACCTGATGGCACGGCAGTTGCCAGTTGGTGCAAGTCGATGGGGGCGGAATAAACCGCCTTTTGCGCGATAATTGACACAGGCCAGCTCCCTCGCCGCCCTCAAGGCGCCGCTCAAACTTGAAGGGTAGATTGTGCAGGCTTGGCACGCCCACCTGTGGATGGCCACAGGAATGGCCAGGCCTGCTGCTGTGCTTGCCTGCAACTCCTCCTCTGCGCCTGCACGCGCGACCTCCTCCACCAGTGGCAACGCGGCTCGCTCGTACGAGCCTGCATCGGGCGCGGCTGCATGCACATGTTGGATCAGCGGGGCGGCGGGCCCCCAACGGCAGCTGCGGCGGCTGGGGAACGACTCAAAAAGCCCGGAAACCACGCGCATTGCGTTCAAATCTTATGCCCTGGAGACAACCGTGGGAGCTAGATCGCTGTGTTGACCAGGCCGTGGGGTCGGGCCGAAAGGGTCTCACTGCAGGCCTCAGGCCTTCCAAAAGATGTTCATGCCAGTAATACGTTCCTCAGAGGTGTGGGGAGCTTAGAGCGGAGCAGCATGGGAGAAGGCAAGAGAGCCCGCCCGCACCGCGTCGGTATCAACGAGCTGACGACCAAAACACGTGCTTGAAAGCAAGAGAAAACCACTGCAGCGGTGGAATTGCGCATGATGTTGAACAACGTCGAGGGACAATGAGCGATCGCCATGCTGTGCTCCTGCTGCACAGCACCGGCAAGACAGGGTTGTGTTGCCAGCGGTTGTGGATCACGTCATTCGCCAAACGTCAGCTTGAAAAACAATATGGAGCTTGCATTACTGCCAAAGGACAAGGCACCCATGCTTGCCGCCCTGCCCGCTGCATGATGCTCTTGCGTTCCTCCCGCCAAATTGACCTGGTTGTCAACCGCCCATCCCACCATGGGCGTCAATTGGAGCCTCCATTTGACAATTGGAGCCTCTGAGAGTCCAGCGCCGAGAGCTCACATGCATGATGGACGACCTCCCGGTTGCGCCCTGCAGCACACAGCAGTCCCATCCTGCGCATGGGTGGCGAGAAGGATTGAAGTTTGCTGGACAGATGTCACATGCCTTCCTGGTGTGCGGAGCAGACAAAGGACAATCTGCATGGGGTGTTGGTGCATGCAGACATGTCTGCATGCACCTTGATTGATGTTTGGGGACTGGCGCATGGCTCCATTCTGGCCAGTTCAAGCCCCGTGCAAGAAACTGGCGTACCTGGAAAGGCGGCCATGTGTGGGGGCCAAATCCACCAGATAAGTACGCTTGTGGACGAGCGTAGTCCTGCTGCTGATATGGACCTAAGGAATCACTTTGCAGGAAGAGAAAAACACAAAGCGTCGACGTGGGGCGGGCTCCGCGTGCCACCTTGCGGCGCCCCACCCGCAGGCCACTTGATCATCCCAGGGTTTGGTGCCTATACATGTTCGGGCCTGCAGAATCGCACTCCACTGGGCATGCGTCCCCTGTGAGACACGCACCGACCCGCAGAGTGTTGCGTGACATCTCCACCCATGATCAGAGACTGCCCCTGCCCCTGGCGATGGCAACGGCTGGCCCACCACAGGAGCAGTGACGGTGGGGAACAACAGGCACAGGAATTCAAGTAGAGGGTGCCGCTGCCATGCGCAGGCAGGACTACATGCCGTAAGGAAAGCTCCAGCTGGTCAAATCAGGATAGAAACAAGCATCTGGCCATATCAAGACTGGTACCCACATGCATGCGCATGCATGGGTGCTTGCAAAAGCGGGGCAGCTCACTGGGGAAGGTGTTGCGTGCCAGGGCCGGTCACCAGCTACTGGTTGAGACGACGGCGTCTGCGACCTTTGTGACCTCGCCACCATGCTCCTGGCCAGCGCTGGCCTGCACACGTGATGGTGCAACCCATCACACCGCCCCCTTGCCGCCATGCTCATTTGCAACGGCTCATGTCAACAAGTGCTCAGCTATGCAGGCTGCGTACCTGCAACTGGCTGCGGCGCTGCCATTGGTGACACACCACATACTGTGCCAGTCATCTTGCTTTGGTCCAGGAGTCGCCCCAGTCGCCGTCCCGTTTTTTGCAGTCCTGCACCCGGTTTTCACGGTTGTGTCCGAGCAGGTTGCGCCGGTCGCGCTAATGCCATGTCAACGGCGCAGGTGGCGTCGATCGTCACACAATCTAGTGCCATTTCTATCAATGCCATCTCATTCACGTGGTGCACGCCCAGGAGATCGAAAATGCAGCAGGCTTCGGATGTATCCGAATCTGATGAGAACGTGCTGCATGATTGATGAAGCATAATAAACGTGATCGCGTCGGTGTAACGAGGCATCTGATGGAAAGTCACCACGACCTTACAAAACTGGGTCACTGGGCAGTTTGTCGCGCTCCGACGCTCTCAAGGCAAGCTGCTGTGCCAGATACCAGTGACTAGTTTACTTATCAGCCTCATGACTCTTTCCATTGTCGCAACGACGCACGCAGATCAGACTTCAACGCCCGGCGCTTGTCTGAATGAGGGTCGGCGAATATCAACATAAAATGGGTGATAGGTCATGTATTGCGTGCCTGCAGCGACGTCGACATCGTGCTATATGTGTCAACGGCGTTGGCGCTCCAGTTCCCAGCTCGAGCTGTACCGGTATCATTAGCAGGACATGCAGGCGCCACACAGTTGCCAATGGATGGGCGGCCTGCGAAGGGAAGACAAGTCTGAGTACTTGCAGCTGCAATCGACGCCAGTTGCTGGTGCTGATTCTGGGTCTGTTGGTGCTGACGAGCTTCTGGAGCGCTGGTTGGAATGCAGCCGCTGCCTGTTGCTCAGGCGCGGCGTGGACTGCAGCGCTGACACGGCTGCAGCAGTGCTTCAGTCTGTGAGCCGTGATTTTGAGTGGCCATGCAGCACTGTGCAGTTTCCTTGGGGCCCCTCCTGTGCCTCCCTCCCCTTCCAACCCGCAGCTGCGCTGCCGACCAGTTGTGGCTGGTGGCGGCGTTTGAAGGCCTCCATCGCACCAGTGTTGCAGTGCCGGAGCACATCCGCGCCGTATGCGCCAGGCAGACTGAGGCGCTGCGCACGACTGAGCGGTTTACCCTGCTTTGCGCATTGCGTTGCAATTGACAAGTCCTCGGAAATGGCGTGAGTTGCTTGATCCTGCAGCACCATCTCAATGTGCGCAGCCTGTGAAACGCATCACCCATGCCTCATTTCGCTCTTGACTCTAGAGAGGATGTTGTCATGGCGCTGGATGCCACGCATACATGACCTGTACCACCAGGCACACAGGTCTGCAAGGGCACCGCCTCCTCCCGCGAGCACCACCACCAGGGCCCCTTGGCCTTGCAGCACCTGGGAGGTCTCGCGCCCCATGCTCACTGGACCCCGGCGCCGCCGGTCGCCTGCTGCAAGCGCAGGTGCGGCTTCCTGCCGCCACCCTCGAAGCTGCGAGTGCTGGCGGCGGCGCTGCTGCCGCAGATCGAGGGGCGTGCGTCCTGGGGGGAAGCCTTGGCGCTGCTGGAGGCCCTGGCAACATGCAGCTTCCACCCTGCTGGAGAGCAGGTGGGTGCCCTTTGAATCTTCCAAGCTGTGATTAATACGCATGGAGACCCGCCATGCCTCGATTGTGAGCACGTTGAGGGAAACAAGTGAAAGGGGTAGGGGTTGTTTGCAAACTGGCTAGCTGTTAGAGGTGCGCGTTGTCGACATGTCGACATCCGCAGCCGCGCGCCCCAGGCACAGCTGGCTGTGTGCAGTCATTGGTAAGGAGGCCAACAAGTCTCTACCTCCTGGTTTTACGCAGGTTGTTGGCCAGCGCCTTGCGTAACCCCTGTGCCAATTGATGGCAGCTCTGCGGCCCCACACAGAGAGCTGGCTGCCGCTCTCGCCTGCCCCAACAGCTCTGCCATTCCTCCGCTTCTCTTGCGCCCGCAAAGGCCATGTGCCCCCACCGTGGCTGCTTGCCACCGCCTCACCCGTCGTGGCCCTGGCCAAAGCCGCAGGACTGCGGGCGCAGCAGGTCATGCGCTGCCAGTGGGCGCTCATTGCGCTTGGCACTGTGAGCGCCGGCGCCTCGGCTGGGTGGCTGCTGGAGCCCCCCAAGCCGCGACGGGTGTGGCGGCGCTGTTGGAGCACAATGAGCAAGGATCAGCTGGCTGTGGTTGCGCAGGCGCGATGCGTCACGGGGTGAAAAGGCTGTTATATGGCAGAGGAGAACTTGCCGGCTGATCTGATGCGGCGCGTCGACGGCGCGTGGCGCGACGTGCGCTTGAACTAGCTCGTGCGGCCATGGGCGGGCGGCGGCCGCCACGGTGTGAGCGGCAGCGCCGCGGCAGTGTTGAACGCAGCACAGGGGGCTTCGGGAATGAGGTGTGCGGCAGCGGTGGCCACGGCACCGGCCGACAGCTCGTGCTGAACGGCGGTGGCGGCAGCAGCGATGGTTGGCGCGCTGACCAGGATGATGGTCTGCTGCTGCTGGGTCTGTTCCATGTTGGTAATGGAGGATCAGGCGGCTGGGGGGCAGCTGCCGGGAGAAGAGGCAGAGGTGGGCCCTGGCCGCAGGCTTGCTGCCTGTGAATACTTGATAGTGCATTAGCGGAGGCCCCCTCATGGCTTGGTCACGCGTTGTTATTTTTGCTTTTGCCCACTTTCGTCTTCACCATCTGAAGTCAGCATAAATGTTTGGTGACGTGAACCACCAAGCACAATACCTCTTGGCTGGAAATTTCAACCAACACCTGCAACTGCTCATACGATGGCGGCAAACGCGGCTCGCACTGCTCAACACAGAGTGATATCCAGTCAGGAGGCCGCCCAGTGGTGGCGTTCTGTGTGCATTTCTGAGTTGGCTGAGCTGGGGCCGGGCAGCGCCGACAGCGAGGAGGCGCGCTGTCCAGCTGCAAAGGCGTGCAGGCACGATCCCCAGGATGTGCTGCTGCTGCTGCTGCTGCTGCTGCTGTCCATGCAATATCCAGTTGATTCCCATACATCAGACAATGCAACCCAGTCAGAGCGGGTAGGCGCTTTGAACGCCGCCGCCCCGTAGTCAGGTCCATCCAGCTTGAGTCGACCTGCGGCAACGTACCTGCCCGCACAGCGTGCGGGATCCTCATTGACCCAGCCGAAGCTTGGGAACAATCAATCCAGAGGGGGGATTTGCGCCCGTGATAAGGCTCACGGGCAAAGCCGAACAGCTTGACGGTCGGATGCCGGGTGGAGGCTTGGCGTACAGCTTGGGGGCCTTCACCTAGGGTTGCAAAGGGGTGCTGAGTACTCTGCGTACTGGTTGTAGTCTCGCTGCGGCTGCGGGGGAGAAATGATCAAAGTTGCTTTGAGCAACGAATGAATTATGGGGCGTGAGGGCGCTATTTGAGGCCAAGCGAGCGGAAAACAGCAAGGCGAAAGCTTTGCGAAGCTGCGGGAAATGCGAAGGTCGGTTGATGGGTCGGTCTGATTTGACAATATAGACCGCTGGAGGGCCTGCGAGCGCGCCAAGTAGGGCTCAGACATAGATCATGAACCTTGGTGGGGCGAGTGGACCCGGGTTTGACCGCGCCCAAAGTGTGCAGCAGCCGCGAGGATTCGCGGAGAGCTGCTGCTGCAGGTCCCGTGCACATGTCTTCTAATTTGTGCGGTGATGCATTTCATCAATCGTAAGTCCGGCACAGGTGTAAGCTGAGCAGCACTGCTTCTGCTGGTGGTGCTGCGCTCCTGCTGCTTGTGGCGCTGCTGCTGCGCTCTTGCAATGCACCTTGGCCCTGAGCGGTCCCGTCATGTGCCAGACGTCTCTTGCATGCCTTAGGATCTCAATCCACGACTGCAAGACACAGCCCTCCTGCAAGCAAGCTGCCTCACGCCTGATGGTTTGGTGTCGCACTTGGTGTGGCTTGGTCCATTCCCAAGGATGGTTGGTTTTTACAGGAGTAGCCTGGAAAGCTTTCCCTTGTGTCTCATCCAGACGTGAGCAGTGAGTGCCTTCACAGTAAAATTAGTGGAGGACGTCTGAGACCCTCCAAAAATTGAAACGCTCTGACTGGATTCCCGCATGCATTGGTGCAGGAGGCGGCCGCCCGCAAGGCAGTGTGGCCGACTGCGGCGTCTCCACCCGCACGAATCAACAGCGATTTTACTTTCCCCACGAATCGCTGCAGCCTCTTGGACAATAGGCCTTGCACGCCGCCGCCCACAGGCAACGATTGCGTCGGTCAAAGCGTCACGTGCAGCAAGGGAACGGCGGCGCGTGCCCGCCCAGCATCCCGCGACACTTGCTAGCCAGGCCTCAGCTGCCGCTGTCCTCAACGCCCGCCGGCGACGCGCGGGCTGACAGATGCATCATGCGCCGCAAGCCGAGCGGCGCACACACGCACCCGCCAGCTCGCCAACAACACATCATGCAATCAACGCAGCGCGCCCAGCAGCTGACTATGGTGCGTCGACCGCCGCGGCGGGGCGTGGCGGTGCCATACTGCGCCGCAGCGGCAAGCAGGCAGGCGGTGGTCCCCTAAATGCGCCCTCACAGCTGGGTGCGCCCTCAGAGCTTGAGGTCCCCCTTGCCCTCCAGGCGGCGCGTGCGGGTGCGCATCGTCACAAACTCCTCCGCGGCGCTGGGGTGGATGCCGACCTGGCGGGGTGGGCCCGGTGGGCGTTTGGCAGTTGGTGGTTGGTGGTTGAGCGCAACCGTCGCGCGAGCGAAGGGGAATTGGCCGTGTCGATTCAAGCTTGTGAAGCTGAGGGAGAGCGTAAAAATGATTGTGGCTTACGTGATCGTGTGGAGCTGGGGGGCATGTTGAAGATCGGCCTAAGGCAAAAGAAAGATTTTTGCTGCGATCGGTGCAGCCACAAACAAGTTGCCCCGGCGGCCGTGGCCCAGCCGTTTGCCCGCCGGCGCACCGTCGAGTCGAAGTGCTTCTTGGTGGCGCCGCACTTGAGGGCAATGGCCAGCCCCTGCATGATCTCCGCTGCGTCCGGGCCCACCCTGTGGGGGCAGAGTGGGTGGGCAGCGTCACGCACGGGCGGGGTTGATGGGTTCAGCCAAGTTGCCGCAGGGTTTGCATTTATGAGAACAAGGGGGCTGGCCAGGGAGAGGCACTGGCAGGAGCGAGGGGTTTCTGATTTGTGGGGGAGCCTTTGTTGTAGGGAGCGGGGTCTGTGCGTGTGTGCGAGGGAGGGGGGGGGCACAAACGGACGGCCTGGCGCATGGGGTGGCATCAGAGTATGCCGCCCCACCCCATGCGCCAGGCCGTCCGTTTAGGCATGCTGCAGGGGCGCGCCAGGCTGTGATTGGTGCTGTCCACACCAACAGCGCAGCCTGGGTGCGCAACCAGCACGCTGACCCCCAAGCACCCTCCGGACCCCCAGGGTGACCATTTCATCGGTCCCAAAGCTTGTGCAGCCGCAGTAGCGGGAAATGACCCTGCCCCCAGGCGCCCCAGCCGGGGCCTGGGGGCTGCAATCCCCAACAAACCAATCTATACCTGCCAGGAAAGTGCAGCCCCGCAGCCCCAGCATCGAAACCCCAACTCTCAGCCCGTCTTGCATTCGCATCAGCCACACCCGGCACGCGACCGCCGCCAAACTTGAAAAGCAATGACACAACTCGTCGTGCGGCATCACTAGTGCATGCGAAATTAAAACACTCGCATGGTTTCAGCACCCACATGTGGCAGCCGACCACCCTGTCGCTGTCAGCGTGGACCAGCAGCTTCATGAGGGTGCGCTCCTCACGCCCACTGATGGTGCCCTTCATGGGGCGGAACCTGCATGAGGGGTGTGGGGAGGAGGGAGAGTTGGGGGTGCGGATGGGGATGGGG